AAACTAATACTCTAACAGCCTCAACGAAAAGAGGCTTCAGGGCACGTAACACGCCAATTTTAAGATAGGATTTTTTAAGTATTTTATATTTGGCATTTTAAATGATTACTCAGCCCTGTATATATTGGAAATTTAACAAAAGCTAGAAAGTTTTTTAATGTATATATTTTTATATATAAAGTTATATATATATATATAATCTATTTTATTTTAAGCGAGTTTACAGCTACAAGAACAAACCTATGAATAGATATCTGATTAAATAAGATTATTCAAATATGCTAATCGATCTAGCACATTTTATTTAGGAATGTCATGGAAATATTTTTAAAACGTACGTCCTTTATATATCTTTATGACATTGGAGTAGTAATGAAAAAAAGATATTTACAAATGCATTTTCCCTCTTAATGTATTATCTGTATGTGTCGAGAAATTTATAATTTATTGACGCCTACCCAAAGCTCCTGTCCATCATCCTGCCTAGAGGACAAGATAAGGTGGTGACCACTGATGCACAACGTCCCATCCATGCTTTTGTTATTGCCATCGCTTTTATCGAACAATACAACATTGTCAACTTGTGGAATTAATATATTATCGCCGATGTGATCGCCCATTATAGCCTTGATATAGTTCTCTCTACGTGGCGGCCGACGAGGTTCTCGATAAGTTACAAACACTTTGACGGAATAACATAACCTAAACAGTTTGCTGATTCGTCGGACTGTTACAAGATTCTCCAGGCATAATTCGCTCAGCCAGTTTCGACCTTTCCTTTGAAGATTCACCTTTCAGTGACGGATTCGTCGGCGACGTTCCCCATTTATCTCGATAATGACTAGATAGGTAAAGTCACAGCTGTTGTGCGACTTGTTTACTATCTATGCGATCCATATATATAATCCGCCGCATCACTCACTGTGCATCGTGGTGCTGCGCTGGTTCATCGCTTTGCCCGCGATCACTCGTGATATCGCAAACGGAGAGAGGGGGAGGAGAGAAAGAGAGAGAGAGAGAACGGGGAAGAAAATCAAGAGAGAGAAGAGGTTATATCGAGAACCACGTGACTGTGATCACATAACCTATTGGATGGCACAGGTGATTAAGGTAATAGGTGACGAGATGATAAAGATATAGTGATGGTTCGGCGATGGAATTTTGATATCTGATGGTATTTGTCATATTCATATCTAACCCGAATGAGGGAAATGTCTCGTAATTACGATATCGAGATTATCGAGGCAACTTGATTTTATGAACTTTGATTTATACGCGAGCAAACCGATTGATCGAACGGTGAGAACATTGCCAATTTGTCACGAAATCAGAAGAGATTTAGGGCATCTCTCAGGAAGCTGTATCACGGGATGACAGCGTCACATTCGGATCATTGTTGTTTCCTGGAAGAAGAAGGCGAGTGGTACGTGCTTTTAAATTGTTCTAGTTCTGTCCTTTCCATTGCAACAACGTTTAGCCTCACTCTTCGCTGCTATCAATAACGTTTTGTTCTAGGCTTTCTACAGTTTAAGTCATTATCTAAGCTTTAAAGGGATCCTAAAGTGAAGCCCAAACTCCGATAAGATCGCTGTTTTACTCCGGATCTACAATAGGATTTTAAGTCTTAAGCCATAAGAAATGGGCGAATCACAGTTGAGTATTCCCCTCGAATTCGACTGTAATTGGTCAATTTCTTACGGCTTAAGTCTTAAAACACCTATTGTAGATCCAGACTTACCGATGAAATGCGACACATCCACATATCTTTATACAGGGTGTCTCACACTACCGCATTTCCTCTTAAGAATGTATTCTTGAAGTAATTTCGAGACGAAAATTTTAATACAAAAATGTCGAGGCTACAATAGTTTTTGAATTATAATTGGTTAAAGATAGTTTGTAATTTAAAAACTATTATAGCTTCGATATTTTCGTATTAGGATTTCGCCGTAGGATGATATTTCATTTGTGCATTTCTGTTATATGACAAATGTGTACAGAACAGAGAGATTCTTGGATCTCTCTATCCCATTTCTCTAGCCAATCAATAGGCTTGAAAAATTTGTCGTATGACAAAAACGCACAAATGAAATGTCACACTTAGAACGTTCAAAAGAATTCAAAAATAGAGGCTATAAAAAAAGTAAAATGGTTTTTGACTTGTAAGCATTTAAAGTTAGCTTATTATTCAAAAAATTATTGTAGTCTCGACATTTTCGTATTAAGATTTTCGTCTCAAAGTTACCTCAAGAAATATGTCTTTAAGAGGAAATGTGGTAATTGTGAGACACCCTGTGTGAGACATACGAGGCCTGTTCTTTTTGGCTGAACTTTTGCACCAGTTCATCTTTTTTTCTTTTCTCTCTAGGAGGAAAAAAAAGGAAGAAAGATGAACTGGGGGCTTATTACGGTTCCTTGTGACGAAGTGAAAATTACAAAAGTGATTGAATTTACTAGAATATTTATAACTTCATTGGTTAACATTTAGTGAATTTGATCATTTTTATAATTTTCACTTTGTCACAAAAACCGTAATAAGCTCCCTGGTGCAAAAGTTCAGTCAAAAAGAACAGGCTTTATATCACACGTACTACAAATTTTCTAACTAATCTTTCGTATTAAGTTTCTAAACCTAATTCCAAGTACATTGATTGTTTATATAATCTCTAGTCCAAGATTATTTTATACGTGCGAAGTATAAAACTCTTATATAAAGCTGATTTTACAATGAGTTGGTAGTCGGAAATCTTAAGTCTTAAGGGGATAGATGTTGGAGTGACCAAATTATCACATTACAATCGTATAAAAATCTTCGAATTGACTGAACAGAATAAAAAATCCTTTTACAGGATTAAAGTAGACGCAAAATTAGTGGTGTAGTGGATTTTATACTAAAATCAAAAGAATGTTAAAAAAATTTTTAACTTTTTGACATAAAGTCGACCGGTTTGGATTACATTATCGTTTATACTTTAATTATGGAGGATTTTTTAATCTATAAAGGCAGTTAGAGAAAAATACTTGTTTGGAAAAATTGATAAAATGGATTCACTTAAGATCCCCTTAAGTAAGCCTATAAAGAAATTGATCAATTATTATTCTTCTCACATTCGATTGTGACTGGTCAATTTTAAACTGCTTAAAACTTAAAGCTTAAGTAATGGCTTATTGTAGAATGTAGGTCTGTTTGCGTTATTTGAAATCCCCCAAAATTTTTGGACTTGAAATGAGATAGATATGTATTTGGACATTGAGAAGAGAGAAAGCGAAGATGCTGAGTGTAAAACGTGCAAGCAACGCAAACAGACCTTGTGTGTTCGATGTAACACTATTTGTTGCTTCACTTTATTTGTTATTTTATTTTCACACATGTCTTTATGATCGGGACAAATCTAATTGAAATATTCATTTCCTGTGCTAGTAGCTCCATTATCACGAAGGAATCGCGAGTTGCCACAGTGAAATTGCCGTGGATTATCGTGAATTGCCGTGGAGAACGATTGACAGTTGTTTTCTCCATCAGCAAGGACAACCGGTGAAAATTGGTGAAAATAGAAACAGGATGGAAGATAGCGACGCAACAGAGTGTCACGTGACCACGATTATTCGAGATGGTATCGAGTGTCACGTGACTACGATTGACCGAGATGGTATCCGTGGGGCTCCGTGAGGGACACCGTCGATTGGTGGCGCCACCGACAGCAAGTAAGGCTGGCATTCCGAAAAGAGGAAAGCAAGCTTTCTGGTGTGGAATCGAACTGAATCGAGCTCAATCGAGCTACGAGTAAAATTGAGTCAATAAATGATTTGATTAACGCTGTGACACTGCATTTACTAACGTTAGCAATCTGTTAGGCCGCATTGGTGGTTCGCGGTCCGTTTTTCGAGGGTGATTAAGTAGAAATACAAGAGCGTCATATCCTGGAATCTCTCTACAAGGTAAAGGACCTGTTTAAGTTCAACACCTTGAATACACTCGCATGCATTTTAGCAGTGCTTTCTACAATAATAATCACATTGAGAATGCTAATGTCTTGTAGCAAACTACCAGGAGAATCTATCCAAGTACTAGGAGCAGCCACTTGGACCCCCGAATTGTCACTAGTATGCAGCAGTTCTTATCATTATAGGTAATCTCGCAGACATGAAAATAATATTACCTAAATATGAGAAGCGCCACAATCAAAGTTAGATGTTAAACTAATGGCCATTCTACAATAAGCTATTAGTAATAAATCAAAAGTCAAAAGCTAAAAATTGACCAATCACAGTCAAATGTAAGAAGAATAATTGACTATGATTGGTCAATTTCTAGCTTCTGATTTATTACTAATGGCTTATTGTAGAATGTGTGTAATATATATTCTTTAAATGAATTTATCTCACCATTAACACTTTTCATTGAGCTGCTCCAATTTGACTTTAACGAATTATTCAAAATTGAATGATGAATCATTATTTTTCAGTGAAAAATCTGTTTTCATTAGAAAATCTGTAAATCCTCGTAAGCCATGAATTATTTAAGTGAACACCACTGATTTTGGTCCTTTTCATCCTTCTTATTATATTGTTTGGTATAAAATTTATATGGAGAATACTTTATATTCAATAAAAAAATGAAATTTTTCTCTTATCTTAAGAAAATAATGTAATAATTATGTAAATAGATTATGGCTGCTTTCCTTTTAGGAGACAGTTAATGAAAATATTATTTTATATCCGGTATTTATAGTTGATTCTTATATTTAAGACCGTCTTAAGTCCAATCTTAAAATGTCATGAGCCAATTAGAAGGCTGTGCATTAGTATCTCAAGATATTACTTAAGCCTGTTCTACAATGTGCATTTTGTTTCCTGTTTCTTGTTTTTTTGCTATTTTTTTCTTGTCTTTTTACCTCTTTACTCCGTTTTTCGTTTTTTATCAAGATAAAAGTTAATGAACTTCAGAAAAAACAAGAAATACACGACAAGAAATATGATTGTCAATAAAACTGTCTAAAGGAGGAAGAAAACAAGAAATAAAGAGCAAGAAATATGAAACAAAGAGCACATTGTAGAATTGGTTTTAAAGTGATTTTAAAATAAGAATCGACTGAATACCAAATGAATACCGGCCATAGTCTTATATTTAAAGTTCTTATATTTAATTTAAAACCGGCAGCATATAATGATAGTTTTCTTTCTGAATTGCTAGCTGAATTAGATTCTTGCCATTGTATTGGCTGCGATGCTGGCACTATCAGTATTCTAATCCAACTAGCAATCCAGCAGGAAAACCAGTATTGTGTGCTACTGGCTTAAGACTATCTTAAGTACAGTCTCAACAGATATCGTAAGCTCTATTACAGATATCACAGAGTCATCACGTCATCTTAAGACAGTTTTAAAATAAGAATGGACTAAACCAGCTTATTTTTGTTATTCATTAAATGCCAAAAAAGATAGAACATTTGTGTTAACTATGGCTAGTATTCATAGTCCGTTCTTATTATAAGACCATAAGTAATATAATTAAGATACCAATAGAAAGACCATAAGTAAGATACCAATATGGCTCTGTGATTAGTTCTCAAGAGTGTATTTAAGACGATCTTAAATATAAGAACCGACTATGAATATCAGTGCGAGCATGGCATGGCAGACAGCGCACTGGTCTATCGTGCCAGAGGTCCCGAGTTTGATCCTGGTAGGAATCAAAATATTTACGTTCATGTCTCCTCTTGGAAAAGGTCGGCAATCTCCCGAGAATATTCTTGGCTACAAGAACATTTCTCGAAAAATCCGCTGTTCGGAATTGGCATTAAAACTAGGTTCCATGTGCTTGTAGCAATTGAATAATTAGTGTACACACCACAAGCATATGAGAAAAGTATAACATAGGTCTAATGTAAGAAGAAAAAGAAGACTATGAATACCAATCTCCTAAAAGAAAAGCAGCATATATATATATATATATATGGATATCTATTCAAGATGGCATATCTATGTTAAAGGCAGCAGCACAGACTTTTGCATAATGCATGACACATAATGTAAGAGAATCAACTAATCAGAATCGTTCCTTGTATTTCATGGAAAAGAGCAACTTTGATTAGTTGATTCTTTTACTTTGTGTTGTGTAAAAGTGTGTGCTGTGGCCTTAAGGGATACTTTTTTTTGATAAACCAATTAGATGCTTTCTGTCGAAGGTGATGACCAAAATGGCGTCCCATGAGAGCAGCGAAGGTCCGGGAAAATCGCCCATTGCAGACAAAGTGAATACGACAATAGAGTCAAAAACGAACGAGGTAAAATCAACTGCTTCACCGCCAGTTGATGAGCATTTTGAGCTGAACGATACAGCTGCTGATACAAAAGAAAAGAATTTAACATCAGATACAACTGCTGATTGTACAAGCGCGGAAAAAAATGATTCTGATGATATAAAAAGTGAAAGCAAGGATTTAAAACCATTGGTAATTGATAAGCAGGACAATACTAAGACGGACAAGAAGCAAGAGACACAAAATGTAGACTCCCTTGTAGAACCTCAAACTGTAGATAAAGAAAAGGAAGTTAAGAACGTAGATAGCAAAAATTCTGTAAAAAAAGGAGAAACGTTAAAACGAAAACGAAGAACTTTAAAGTTAGTATTATGTATTATATCTTTATAGAAAGTTTACACAAATGTTGTGTATATATAGATATAAAAAGAAAGACATTGATATTTCTAGCAAATCGACGATGGTGGAATCTTCTAATTCTCCGACGGAGGAAAGTGGCACGAGAGGTAAGAGAAAGAAATTGAAGACTGGCTACGATCGATTTTGTTGGCGATGTCACAAGGAGAACGTTGACGCTTACTGCACCGCTTGTCCTCGCTCGTATCATCGTAAATGTATAGGAGGCATGCCGTCATCTTTGGACAAGTGGATATGTGGGGAATGTGCAACTATTTTAAAAGCAGAAAACGCCGAGACGCGTTCTGTAGCCATGGCACAATTGTCTGTCGATCAATTGTGCATGTTGCTTAAGCATGTGGTTGAAAGGTTACGTGACTATCCCGGTGTACGTATATCCTTTTTTATTAAGTGCTATAGTGTTTATTGCATTATTATAATTTACTTATTTAATGTATTCTTGATTAATTTTTATTCTTGATATAGTCTGAGCCATTTTGTAAACCGGTGGATCTCGTAGAAGTACCAAACTACATGGAATATGTTATCAAGCCGATGGATTTGAGCCTTTTGGAATCGAATGTGCGGGCTAAGCTTTACGGCAGTACCGATGCGTTTATGGCTGATGCAAAATGGATTCAACATAACTGCATCGTATTCAATACGTGTACGTGAATTTGCTGTGCTTTTAAATTCACGGTTTCTAAATCATGAGTATTAAAGGTGAATTGATAAATAAGCTTATCTTTTGTTGATATTTACAGGTGGTGGTGTTTACGCAGATACGTCGAAACTGACAAACGCGGCGAAGCAAATCATCAAAGTAGCACGTCAGGAAATCTCAGAAATTGATGCATGTCCTGATTGTTATGCACATGGTCGAAATTTGCCAAGGCCTCAACCTTCATGGTTTATTGAACCCTGCCGTCGACCGCATCCACTTGTCTGGGCCAAATTAAAGGGTTTTCCGTTTTGGCCGGCAAAAGCAATGCCTCGCACGAATTCTCAAGGATATGTGGATGTGCGTTTTTTCGGTGAACATGACCGCGCCTGGGTGTCACCTAAGGACCTTTTCTTGTACTCTGAAGAGCCACCAGCGCCATCTCCTCGTAAACGGAAATCCGACATGGATGAGTGCGTAAAAGAAATTACTCGACATTGTAGAAAACTCGCGCTTATGTTTGGCCAGTTCAAATTTGCTCCACCCAAAATTCAGTACGACCCGAACAATCCGTTGCAGATACGGCTGATGCTACCGAATTACAATCCCCTCGAGCCCAAGAATCATCTTCCCAATCCGAAAGTTCCTACATCTCAAAAGAAGAAATCGCCGCAAAAAAGACAAAGTTCTCTTAAAGGTAAATCACAGAGTGACGAATTGACTAACATTAGTGAAATAGATATTGACCCGACAAATAATGCTTGTGAAAAGGAGAACGAAGCAACATCGCCAAAAGTACAAAAATTAGATACCGATGTTAAGGATACTTCAAGCTCGCAAACTGATCTAGATGATAGCACTAAGTTGAATAAGAAAGCAGATCAAGAAATTATAAAGTCAGTCCCTCAAGAAGTTGCTCAAAACAAAACGGTAAAAAATGGAAAATCAAGTAATGCGAAGACATCAATGTCTCGATTAAACGTTGCGCATACAGAAACTGATGCCGAAAATAATAGCATAAGTCTTAATGTTAGTATTTCAAATAATAGCACAAGTCCTAATGCTAGTACCTCAAATAATAGCATAAATTCTAATGCTAGTATCTCAAATGAGAACAATTCACAGAAATCGAAAAATGAAGTGAAATCATTTATAAAAATTTTGCCTAAGCCTGCAAATTATCCAGTTACTGATGCGGTAGCGCAGAAGAAAACCCTTTTGAAAAATATTATTAATCCTAAAGTGACATTCTCACAAGTAGACAACTCAAAGATGATGACAAAGTACACAAGAAACAATAAAGCGTTCAAGCTAAAAACGAGTATTGTTGATAAACTAAACGCGGAAAAAGAACTGATGTCTCTATCCGCGAGCAAAGAAGATGAGAAATTGTCGAATTCAAGCAAGGTCATTCCCAGAATGTCACTGTTGAACAATAGTAAGGAATCATTGAATGTAAAAAACATACCTGAAGTCGATATAACTTTATCGTCTGCATCGAACGCGAGTGTTACTCATACCATTACATCGACGAATCCAGTCGTTCCTATAACGGATAAATCTGTATTGCTCCTCGTGGTTCCCAATGGAAAATCTACTGAGCCTGTGAAACAAGTCGCGTCGACGATCGACTTCAATCAAGGCAACAACGAGGGGTACACTAATTCGCCTCAAAAGGCTAAAAAGAGTTTCCCTAGATCCAATTCAAAAAATATTCAACGTTCGTCGAACGCAGATGGAATTACGGAGATTTCTTCTATTGGCCAAGAAACACCATCCACATATCAACTGCCACCTCCGGAAGCTGGACCGATCAGCGCACGTCTGCATAATGATGCGCACGAACTTGCGAGAAAAATGGGCCACTTGATGGAAGAGGCGTACAAGGAGGCAGCCCAGAACAGTATTAACGGCGAGAACGGTACCACTGACAATTATCAGGCGACGATATTTTTCCTGCGAAAACAGATCGAGCATATGAAGTGGCAACATCAGCAGCAGCTAGCCGAATTGAAACACAACGCCGGTATATCTGTTTTTTCTTGCAAAAAAATTATTTAACAGTTACCATTAACATAAGAATACTTCAGGAAACATTATAAATTCCAGATCGTACTCTACGTGAGATGCGCGCGAGTATGGAAGCAGAGAAAATGCGATCGATTGAGGAAGTTCGTAAGGAGATCGAAGATGAAAAGATCCGATCTGTCGAAGAGACCAAGAAGAAACAATGGTGTGCCAAATGTGGAAAGGAAGCAATGTTTTATTGTTGCTGGAACACTGCTTACTGTAATTATCCGTGCCAGGAGTCACATTGGCCCACACATATGCGGACATGTTCTCAGCAATCTGCGTATGCTACGATTGTCAGCTCAAGTGCAAGTTTGCACTCGAATGCAAATTTGAATTCGCAGCAGGTAATGTGCAGACTCGTATTAAATATGAATCACGTTACTTTGAACTTGAAAAGCCTAGAGTGAATTAGTATAAGTCCTAGCGATCTAAACTGAAAATAATGAAAATACTATAACAGAATGCTATGTTATTCTAATTACGAAGAACTTTCCTTTGCTTGTTTAATTTTTTTTTATAAAAATTAAAAATATTTGTGATATAAAGAAATTTGATATATGGATAAGAGATGGACATGATATATGGATAAGAAATACTGTCTAGTCTGATATATTTGTTAATAATTCATTTTATTGGCCTCTAACAAAATTTCATTATTTTTAAATTTACACTGTTGTGCTCTAGACGCTTCAAAGCTGAATTTTGGTTTCAAATTATATTTGCGAATAAATCGTGTTTTACTACGATAGTTTTGAAGTATTTTGTACTTTTCAGACCAGTTACGTCATTGCTGATAATTCCGCAACCAAGACGTATCTTCTATCATCCAACATGAAATTGAGTGCAATTCCGTCTGCTTCGTCCGTTAATAGAAATAAAACCAGTCAAGATACGCTGTAGGCATATAGCAATTTATTTGTAACCAATTCGGTATCAATGCAAGTAGGGTGAAAAGAGTTTCAGTAATACTGCAGGTAAATTCATATCTGCGAACAATCAACAAGAGAGTCTTGATTTAAACTACACTGCAATGTTTATTACTTACAATCTGAAATCATATATTTAATATGTAACTATTTTCTTTTTGGAAAATACTTTTAATTATATGATGTAAATATTCGTAATGCTGTCTTTATAATTTTTGACGTTACATCAATCCTGACACGTTGTGAAAAACACGAAGGTAATGCAAATCATTGACGTTTGTAATAAACTTATCGTACTTTTATTTAATTAGTATTTAAAAAGTGATAATTTAATAATTATAGGAAAAGTATGAGAGATATAATAAACTATGCTTAAAGAAACGTTAGATATGGGCGGATAATTTTTTGTAACATAAGTTATATGTATCATGTTTAACGTATTTAACAAGGGAAACCAGGTTTTGTTTCCTCCGATTGGACTGAATTATATATAATAATAATCTCCAATAATAATTTTAGACCGTATATGTGAGAAACACAATCGATAAATTAGAGCCCTATATCGGTCGAAGCTAGATCTTAAATACTTAACCAATTCTTGAATCACTAAATATGATATATATGTACTTGACATATATACCATACTTGTAGTCTAACAAACTGCGCGCCGAATCATTTCCGGGTGATGTAATTGCTAAACGTAATTACATCACTGTAGTAATCTTGCAAATTAAATTAAATTCTAATAATTTCGATGTTTAAACAGGCATCATATTTCAAAGATATTAATATGCTGAAAAAACTGTAATTATATATACTGAATTATATATACACGTACGCGCGCGCACGCACCCACCCAACACACACACATACACACACACACGCGCGCGCGCGCACGCACACAGACTGAATTATATATAAAATAGTTTAGTTCTCCAACTGAATTATATATATAAAATAGTTCAGCCTTCCAACTAATTTGTTAAGATTATACAACGTGCTTTTCAAGTATTCATGAAAAACATTAAAAATTTACGTGTTCATAATGTAAGAACGAACCGACAACTAAATGGCGTGGTGTAATCAGGCTGCATTTCAATATTCATTGTACTACAATTCTATGGTATACATTACGTGCACTATAGATTTCCAGCACTGGCAGTCAATATCGGAACGCAACCTCAATAAGATATTTGACTACAACGTTGCGGGGGCAGGGGGAAATCTCTGAATCTTATTTTTACAATTTTTTTGCATTGCAGTATATTATTTGTGTTGAATGTATATTTTTTATACTTGACCTGAAAAATTAATGTTTAGAGTTTATGTAATTTTTTATTTAATTAATTTTAATTATTAATTATTTATTTAATTACATTAATTAAATAAATAATTGATAATTAAAATTAATTGAATAAATAAAATTACATAAATTTTAAACATGAATGTTTTAGGTCAAATATTAAAAAATATACATACACAATGCGCAGTAGATAAAAACATTTGTAAAAATGAAATTCGAACCAGAGATTTTACATTGTAGTCAGCCTTTACTAACCACGCCGTTTATTTACCGACTCCTTACTGATCAATACATTGAACATGTACATTTTAAACGCGTTTTTCTCGTAATTGCTTGAGGCGCGTAGGATAATTTTAACACGAATTAATTGGATAGCTATTATACATATAAAATTCAGCCAAATCGGCGGAAAAACCTAGTGTTTCCCTTGTAAATATTGTAATAACCTACTTGTTTGGAATTTGATAACGCTACTTTTCTAACTATAACATTAACCATATAACTTCAAATAATTTCTCAGTTTCTCTACAGATAAAATTGAAAAAGATGAGATAAGAGATAATTATTTTTTCAACAGAGCTTCATGACATAAACAATATAAATACATCTTTGGCATAGGATAATCAACACTCTCGTGAAGAACATGATAAACATTTATTTCGGTAAAATCTGACACGTGTAGACACAAGTAATGTTGAATGCGTTTATTAATAAATCAAGTAAAGATATGCAGAAATGTATATTGAATATGCTTCTGAACGTTCCTTTTCCATCAATTTAAACATGCCAATGTTTAATAGTCGTCTAAAAAACAAGCCAATATAACTCAATTTTTTACCTTTATTCTTCAAAGAAAATTTTCTTTTTCAGATTAAATGTAATTTGTAATTGTTTCGCAAAAGAAAGAAACACGACTTCGCTTTGCAGCTGTGAAATAATTTGGGAATATAAGAATTAAATACAATAAATACCAATAAATGGAAATGTTTAAAATCTCGCGCCTATGATGCAACGATATTTCGCCCAATATGGCGAACGGAAGTAGACGTTGGTAGACGTCACCCAGTGCCAACTGCCAGCCAACGGGGCTCTGTGGTCGGGCTGCTCTTTCTATGGGAGGAAAAGCACTTTTCTCCGTCACCGCGGCCTCCGTACGTTTTTTTTCATAGTGAGTACGTGAAACATACGTCAACTACGAGTAACGGGCCTTCGGCCGTTGCTTTTTAACGTAACGCGCGCGATTTTCCATAAGATTGGCCATCAATCTCCCGTCTTCTCGTTGATTTGTGAGAGAGAGACTGACATCGAGAGAAGTTAATAATCGTCTATTGTCAGTAAACAAGAGAGCGAGAGAGAAAGAGATAGACGGAGATCTGGTGAGCCGTTGTCTTGGAATAATAAATCACTCGTCAATCATATGACGAGAGAGAGAGAGAGAGAGAGAGAGAGAGAGATTGAGATTGATTGATTGATTTATTGATTGATTGAGCGTTTATTGCTGCTCTAGGGCAAGCCCTCTAAGAGCATACAGAGATAGGATATAATTGTAAAAGCAATGTAGAATAAAAATTAAAGAAAAACAAAGAAAAATACGCGAAGAAAGAAAGAGAGAAGGGGAGAGAGAGAGAGAGAGAGAAAATAGCAAGTCGTCATAGATTCCACATCGCAATTCCGTTTTATTCCGTCTCGTCTGCACTTTTCTACACTTGTCGCGAATAAAATCTTGAATATCTGTCTAATTGGACTGTCAGCAGAGAACACGAGGCCTCCAGGAAGGTGGAGAGAGGTGCAGCCGAGAGGAATCGCGGATCGCCGGGATACGTGAATGCCTGTAGTGAGCTCGACGATGACTTCGCACCTCGCTTCCTATTAGAAAGTTCAAGGTTGCGAGGTCGGATTTAAACAGTCAGTCGATCGAGTCACATTGCTAGACTGTGATCTCTCGTTAATTTGCTTTGCTATTGTTGCAGAGTCATTCGTTAGTTAACATACACACACAGCATAGTCGACGTCACATAACCGCAGCTATAAATATGTTTATTTGGGATTGGTTCGCTGGAGTGCTGAATTATCTCGGTGGGTAGAACTTTTCTTGCATTGATTGAGTAGTAAGTTTTTCATCTTCTAATCACTGCTCATACCAAGATTCAATAGCTGCGTTCAGCAGAAAAAGCAGCTCTACAACTGTTGTAAAATTCTTGAATATGATTGGTTTATATATTTAGGTCTAATGAGAAGCTAAGAACAAGACTAATTATATTAAAGAATTTTACAACAGTTGCAAAGCTGCTTTTTCTGCTGAACGCAGCCAATCTTATTACAAATATTACAATTGTACAACTGGCTTCAGCAGAAGAAGCAGCTTTACAACTGTTGTAAAATTATTTAATATGATTGGTTTATACATTTAGATCCAGCGAGGAATTAAGGCTCAAGAACCAATCATACATTAAAGAATCTTACAACAATTACAAAGTTGCTTTCTACTGAATGCATCCACTGTTGCTAATATTTAGAGTATTCAGAAATGATAAATACTTATAATGTTACTGATAAGAATCTGTTATTAAAACAATTGTCTAGAATATAATATTTAAATAATTTAATTGAAAAGACAATTGTGAAACAAGCTCTTTTACTCTGAATTATTTTTAAGAGGATATTTGTTAAAAATATGTACACTTATCATATTTGTTATCTGACAAAGTAAGTAGACATTTTATAATTTATGGAAATTTTGATATTGGTTTCATTCCATGTGATATTCCTTATTAGCAGTTTAAATTCATATGAATATTCTATTTCTCAACAAATTTGTTATACATTTGATCTGTATGATTTTTCCTTGTTGGTTTTAGGACTATGGAAGAAGAGTGGCAAGCTTCTCTTCCTAGGTTTGGATAACGCGGGCAAAACTACATTGCTTCATATGCTCAAGGATGATCGTTTAGCTCAACATGTACCCACATTACATCCAAGTAATTATACTTCTATATAAACTATATATCTTTATTACTGCAACAAATAATGAAAATCAACATTTCATTGAGTTATTAATGATTGTTCTAGCATCTGAAGAATTGTCTATTGGAAATATGAGATTTACGACTTTTGATCTTGGGGGTCATACTCAAGGTATGCAAGAGATGTACATTTTATGTTCCATTTTAGTTGAATAATTGCTCATACTTTTGCAAATTGTATCTCTACAGCACGTCGCGTATGGAAGGATTATTTCCCAGCTGTCGACGCGATAGTGTTCCTCGTCGACGCAAGTGACAGAACAAGATTACCAGAATCAAAAGCCGAGTTGGATGCATTGTTAACTGATGAGCAACTCAGCGCGTGTCCGGTTCTTGTACTAGGCAATAAAATTGACAAACCATCCGCGGCTTCTGAAGATGAACTCAGAAACTTCTTTAATCTGTATGGACAAACAACAGGAAAGGTATTTCCATGCAAATCGAAATAGTGATCCTATATATTAGTATAACAACTACAACTAGAGCGAGATAAAATTTGTATTGGCTTTTTTTTTAAGAAATTTTAATCGAAAATTTGTAGGGTAAAATTGCTCGCAGCGAGATACCCGGCCGTCCGCTGGAACTGTTTATGTGCTCAGTTCTGAAACGGCAGGGATATGGGGAAGGCTTCCGTTGGCTTGCACAGTACATCGATTGAACGTACATATTATTATACACATGACAGATTCTCAACAGTTCCATCATTTCCCTTTCCTATGGTACCGGTATCGCTACCGGAGTCTTCATATGAATTCAGCAGTAGGAGAGGAAACATCGTTCATCGGAAAAAAAACAAAAAAAAAACAAAAAATGAAACAGTAACCGAAATTTAAGACAATTTTCACAAATAGAGACACGAGACAAATATTCTCGAGAACATACATGCAAAGGATAAGACGGATTTCCTTTCTTTGACGTTGGTATGCATGAAAAGCCCATAAACATCATCTTTTTTTTAATATTTCGAATCCTAGACGGATTCTATGGGAGCCTATCACTTTGCGAGTCACATTAAGGGAATGATCATTAATACATGCTGAAAAATGAAATAAAAACATTTTGATAAAATAAAACTAATAAACTATTTAAGAATTTCAAATGTTTTGTAGATTTATTTTTGGTAATTTATTTTTAGTGACGATATACTCTAAAAGAGAAATACACATAAGTTACAATGCAGAGTAATATATCGTACGCAATCGTATATGTCGTGGCTTTGGAAAATTGAGAACTTGCAATATGTAAATTAGGTTGATTCGTTAATCGATACTTTTCCTTTTTTTCATTAATTTAAAATATCATAATTATTAGAATCATTGAATGACTGCTAAATGCTGCTGTTCTATATTTAGTCGCTGGTATTTACTTTTCTGTTGTACTTTTACTTATATAGTCTTGTATTTGTGCCAATATTTTGTATATTCTTTGAAATCTATTTTTCAGGAAATGCAAGATATATATGAATATAATTTCTCTTTTGACAATGATTACGAAAATCTATCAAATCGATCGAAATTATTAGATAGAACAATTATAACGTTTTCATCTAATTATGGAATTGCATATCTTAATTATATAGCTGATATATTGTTTAAAAACCAGCATATATCATCCTTAATATTTCAAAACAATATTTCGATTCTTTGATCTGTATGATCTGTAAATTAAGTTACTGTTATAAGTTGATGATGTTCATAAATTATGTAGATAGCGGGAAAATTTTGTTAATTTGTTGGTTATGAATCTAGCTTATAATTCTGGAGTTGCCTCCAAAATAAAAATCAAAGTTACAAACAAAAAATATTTTACATAATAGTACTTAGGTTGTAAGTACTTATGTTGTCTTTATTTTATACCAATAAAATATATGTTGTTTTATATTTCACCCAATTATATAATGCGCCATTTACAAAATGGTTTTTGATAAATTGATTTACACTATAATCTATTGCGAGAAATATAAGATTAGATCTTAAAAAAGTAACAATTTTGATATATATCTAGATCTGTACAATTTTGATATATATCTAGTTCTGTACAAAATTTAAGTATTTAGAAACTTATTATTATAACAATTTATACATACCCACAGTACATATAAACCTCTTAATTTCTATAATTTGCTGGTACATAACTGCAATTCTTTCTCCACAGGAAGTACTGCGAACCGTTTATTTAAATATTCATTCGTTACATCAGTCAAGGATGTCGGCTTCCATACTAGTTTCCGATCTTTGTCGATTAGGAGAGCTCTGACACCTACAATTAAATTGAAATATTGATTCAAGAACAGAAGATTTGTAAGACATGCGCTAAATTCTATCTTAATTATTACCTTCATAGAAATCACCGTCTCTAGTCAGAGCGGTACAAGCTAATCTAAATTCAATCTTTAAACAATCTGCTAAGGATTTTTCTTTTTCTTCATCGATCGCTCTTTTGGTGATTTTGAGAGAAGACAGAGACATTTTGAGTAGTACATTTATGTTTTTTTGTGCCCAGTCTGAATTATCTTTCTTCAGCCTTTACACAAAAAAAATTATGCATTGCTATTATAAGTGAAAATATATTAATTCAATTTTTTAATATTTCTATTTCACCTTTCAATTATCTCTTCAACGGTTGGAGCAGAGAAATAATTTTCTATTTGTGACATATGAGATGCCAAACTGAATTCATGATTTAATTTCGGTTGATACTTGTTTAAAACGAACTCAATGTCGACTTCACGCAACGTTAACAAATCTCGTTTCAAATCTGTGAGTTTCTCCGATGGTACAAAATGCGTCGCGATTCCAGCAAAGAGAACGTCGACATCTCGGTAAAAAATATATTTATAAATATATTATATGTATATATAGTACTGGACAAAATAAAGTACGCACTCTAAACATTTTCACATTTATGTAAATAACTCGCCAGTCCTGGCAGATAGCATAATGATGAATGAGGTAAAAGAAAGATATTTTAGTCTACTTTGCAATAATGAAAATTTCAAAAACAATTCGAAATCCTTTAATAGTCAAGTCCATTACATTTATTATCAAATTTATCATGGACAAAATAAAG